TATTTACAATAATAATGTTATATTTGTATAATAATAACACTTTTAAAATTTTAAATTAAATTATTTGTGTTAAAAATTTATTAATATTAATTATATATTATATATTCATCTCATCATCATGAGATATCATGAAAAAAAATTATTAAAAAATATTATTCATTTTTAATAGAGAAACTCTTAAAATATATTTTTAAATTTGGATAAAAAAATTTACCTTAAAAAAACTTGTATAAGAAGACTCTAAATGGTGAAATTTAACAGCTGTATGTATGTATTCTCAAATGCTTTATTTCTCAACTTCAATTCAATGCCACAGTTTCAACATAGTGAATAAAAAAATCACTTGCTGCTTCTGCAAATAATAATTTCTAAGAGAGGAGAAAGATTAGGAAATATATTGTTTGTGAAAAGGTAAAATAATTCACTAATAAAAAAATTAATTTTCAATTATCAATGCTTAATTATTTTTATCCACTTGTAGAAATTCGCATTAAGCACCAAATTAATTGCATCAAAACGTTGACTAAGGAATCAAGATCGAATTGCATCTTCGTCTATTAAAGAGCATACCTTCCCTGAATCTTTGTGATTTTTTTTTTAATTCTATTTCAATTTGAAGCTACTTTTGCTCTCCAACGTTTAAATCTTTGCATTTTTGGAATGAAATCGTTCTTCAAATCTTTGGTGGTAAAATCCAATTCATTGAAGGTCATGTCTGCAATCACTCACGATGAATAGAATAGTGTTCTTCTCATAGAAAGAGCAAATGTTGAAAGTATTTTTGATACATTTGAAATTCGTGGATGTTTCAGCCTTCCGGACCATGCAGAGCATTCCCACAGGACATTATGGTGCACAAATCAATAAGTATGAAAATATGTTAAATAAAACATTAGTTAATTATGTACTTAGGTCTAAAATATCTTATATAACCATAGTTAACCAGTTCAATATAGTGTGACCATGAGTTATGTGACAGGCCTAGATGGAATCTAACACAATATGACAATAATAATTTAATTTCCATGATGTAAATATTTTCATACTGTTAAATAATTAAAATGGTAAAAATATTTTTAACCTTAAAAAATTTCTCAAGTTCGATAATATTCTCTCTCTTTTCTTTTTCTTGTTTTATTTTGATTTCTCTAATTTTAAAATGCTTCATTTTTTTTCTTCTCAAAATAGTATAGACAGTGCTTTATAACCATATTTAAGTGTTATCTAAACTACTTTGAAAAAAAAAAATAATACATTTTTTTAAATTAGAGTAATCAAAATAATTTTAAAAAATTCAAGGGACAAAAATTAAATTTTAAAATTTTTATATGAATTAAGAACATATATTTTCCAAGTTAAAATTATTTTGAATTTAATTGCAAAGTAATTATTATGGAAACTAATAATACATGCATATAAATCTATAATTAGATAATATATTTTTTACACGATAAAATCATTTTAATTTATATTCTTAAAATTGTAAAAATTTACTATCTTATAATATAAGGTGTTGATTTAAATGCATTATTTTTATTCTTATGTTGTATATTTTTTTAAAATTCTTTTGAAACACTTATTTATTTAAACTAATTTGTCATTTTAGACTATAAAAAATATTAATTAACTTTGTATTGTAATTAATTTTTTCTTCAAGAAATTATTAATTTTTTATAATTATATAACAAGTTTTTTAATAAAAATTTTAGGACAAGTGATACCAATATAATATGGTTTAAATTTTTATGTAACATAAAAAATCAATTAAAATTTGTTATTTTGAATCTCATATTTAAAAGTAGTTTATCAAAATTTTTACACTATTTTTTTCATACACGAGTATCATTGAAAGAAATTAATTCTCATATATTAAACATGAATATTTTTTTATGAGAGATTATTTTTATAAACTTGTCTCTAACAAGAGGATTATTAGAAATTTTTGAAATCCTAAATCCTAAACCTCTTATCTATTTCAAAATTTATTTATAAATTAATTTTAATAATTCTAAAATAAGTGAACCCTTATATATTATACATAACTATATTATGTGAAAATTCGTGTTTTTAAGAATTTCTCTCTAATAATAGAGATTTTAGAAATTAAATTTTATAATTTAAAAATAAATTATAAATAATTAAAAATAATTTTGTGTCACAATATAAATTATATAACTTAAATATAAAATATAATTTATATATCCACTCATATATATCAAATTCTTATATATAAAAAGGCTTAAATATGTTTTTAGTCCCTCAAATTTAGGATAAATCTGTTTTTGGTCCCTCAAATTTAAAATTGTTATTTTTAGTCCCTGTAATTTCAAAAAAAAATTATTTATTCTTTATATTTAAACTTTGTTAAGAAATTTATCAAACATTATTGCATAAAATTTACTTATTCGTGTCCTTATTAGTGAAAATATCACATTAAATCAGGTTGATATTGTATAACTGTTTTAATTAGTCACTTTCAAATATGTTATCGGTGACTTAAGAGATTAAAACAAGATTTTTAAAAATTACATGGACTAAAAACAACAGTTTTAAATTTGAGGGACAAAAAACAAATTTATTTTAAATTTGAGAGACTAAAAACATATTTAAGTCTATATAAAAAATACAAACGATTATTTTACACAAAAACGCTTTTATGGGCTTTTTTTTAAAAGATTTTTAGGGATTATTTAACTTCATATCTTAGGATTTTTCTTTGACAAGAAAATTTTTAGAAATTTTTTTAACTTCATATTTAATTAATAATTATTTATGAATTAAATTTTAATAATTTTAATTAATTTATCAATAAATACAAATAATCAAATGCTACAATATAAATTATTTATCATAAATTTAAAATATAATTTATATATTTAAAAAT